AACATAAATACTAGATAAATGCTTATATTTTAATATTAAAAAATAAAATATACTACATTTAAGTCACATAAATAAGACAATTAAAATTAAAATTTATGTCAAATAATCATCTTGATTGATTTTACATTAAGGATAGAGCTGTGGAATCTCTAAGTGAAGTCATGTTACGATCCTCCATTGTACTAACAAAATTACTTTGAGAAATTCCTTGATCTATGCTCTCTTCTCCAGGCACTTCAGGTACGTAATTTGGGTTCTGATCACACCTATCAAATTCTTTATCCCTGATTGCATGTTGCCTAATATAATTATGAAGTGCAATAGTTGTAGCTACTATCTTCTTCTGTGTTGTAAATAATAACTTCGCATGCCGAACAATATTTCAAACCTATTTTTCCAACACCCAATAGATCGTTCAATGACATTTCTAAGACAAGCATGAGCATGGTTGAATACTTCTTGATAACAGATTGGTTGGCTTCCACGTCTAAAATCAGGAATGTGATACCTTTCTTTTTTATAGGTGCCAAATATCCATTTATATTAGGATAACCAGCATAACAAGATAATATTTACCTCAAATATAAGAGAGAAGTTATTGATAATAAATACAAAAAATTTTCTTAAAAATTCATTAAGAATTGTGCTTAAAAACTATAACACAAAATAAATAAAAAAATTATTACCATCAGGAGGATGAGGAAACACATCCTTATGATTTTCCAATGTATGAGTGAAAACACGTGTATCATGAGTAGATCTAGGCTACCCTGTAACTACAAATGTAAATATCATGTCAAAATTACAAACTACCATCACATTTTGAGTGGGGATGCCTTTGCGACCTATAAATGGTATTAGGTCTTCTTCGGGGATCGTGGCTTTAACATGCATACCATCAATTGCATTAATACATCCTTTAAAATGAGGCCAAAACCTACTATCTTGTCGAATCTTATTGGGAGTTTCGGTAAAATTATCATCAGTTGGTTTCACAATGTCACTTGAAAACTTCACCATTGCATCAAGAACCTCACCAAATTTTCTACTTACTGTTTCTCCCAAATGTTTAAAACGATTTTTCACATTTCGATTAGATTGATTATGTGCACATGTCCAAAGAAACATTGCAAGTGATTCTTCTACAGATATTTCTCTTATTGATGTTAGGCCATAATTACTAACTAACAAAGAACATAATCTCGTAAAAACACGTGGTTCCATTTTAAATAATTTATAACTTTCACCTAGAGTTACCAATGTCTCTTGCATCCATTGCCAACCTGAAAGTCTTGAAACTCTTTTTTTTTTTTTTGTTAAGATATTTTGAAATATATTTTGAAGATCTTGAAGCACCTAAGTGAACAAGAGAATAAAAGATATTATCTCTTTTCATCTACCTTCCACCTGCTTATCTCTTTGTTCTATAGCTTGTTCCTCCACCTCACAGTCATCACTATTTTCATAATTCCACCTTGGATCTAAATCCATCTACCAAGAAAAAGAAAAACATTAGGATCCACATATGAACACAAAAAACCAATCTAATTATTTTTACAACTAAATTAAAAATGTAAAAAAAGTAAGATAACATACCTTTTTATCTTTCTCTTAAGTTAAACAATAAATGAACTCTTGAACTCTTGAACTCTTGAACTCTTAGACGTAAATTCAATTTGAGAAAAGTGCATGAGGGTGTTGTAATTTAAATAGGGGGTTGTGTTTTATGTATGTTTAGATTTTTTTCCATGTGATTGAGAAATCTTTTCTTAAGACAGACTTTCTTTTTTGATGTGATTGAAATACAACACTTGCGCAGTGCATGCCTACCGTCCCAACGCATGCACTGAAATCAGCTCTTGGGCAGTGCATGCCTATTGTCCTCAGCTATTGAGATTCTGCATCATGGGTGTCCACATTGTTACTTTTGATATAAAAGGTAAAACGGTTTACTGGCCCCTAAAATTCTTTGATTGTAATGATTTAACCCAAAACTTATTTTTATGTAAAATCTACACTTTTAATTTTAAAACTTATGCAAATTGCCCCTTCCCTTTTAGATAATGTGGGCACCATTAATTTTTAAGTTGTATGAATCATATTATTTTAACTTTTTATTAACTTTTACAAATTAACAAAAAAAAAAACTTAATATTTCAAGATAAGTGATAATCTAAACATGGATTAATATAGAATCCTTATTTGAACTATAAATCACCAGTCCAATTTCTAAGCAACAACATTATGAAAAAGACATAAATTCATAACATTAGTCCACATACAACGAAAATACAAATAAAAAAGAAAACAGTTTTGTATCTCAAATACAAGCATTACGAATGTCTTAATACTAAAAACTCAAATACAAACATCCTAGTGATGCCTCATACCACCGAATCTCTTCCTCTCCATCTCAAACCTTATCTTGTCCCTTTCCAACTCTTGTTGTAGCCAAGAAAGTTTTGAGTTAATTGATTTTATACTCCTAAACATATTTCTATATTCCCATTTCACAAATAAACAAGTACCTAACATAAAAAGCTCATTACCATCTTCAACTCCAAGTTAACAACATCTCCATACATTCTTCAGTGCTATCAACATGTGCTTCATAATTCTTCTTTGATGAATCACTCAAAGTAGTTGTGGTATAACTTTCAACTGCATCACAAAGACGATTCAATTGTCCCTGCATGTATGTTGCACCCCCTAATTTCACTTTCTTCCCTTTACCAGTAAGTGAAGGACCAATTGTTTTTTTCTTCCTTTTTTCACTGCTTCCACCAATTTGTGTTGGGATGACATTCACCTCATCAAATTCACCACTTCCTTCTTCCAAATCAACAGCATCTTCAAACCCCACATTTTATTATACTGGAGGAATAGGCCTAACAGCTGAAGTCCATGCAGTTTCACCGGTGACTACTATTCTGTCAAACATTTGCTGCAACTCCACTGTGTTTTCTAATCCATGATGCTCAAATTTACCATATTCTTTGTTCTCCTATAATATATATAACATATTAGAACTTTAAAGTTAAGATTAACAAAGTCACATGCAAAAAACTAAAAATTATTAACAATAAAATAATACAACTAACCGCTTTCAATTCAGCCCATCGTTGAGGAGTAGCATCAATTGTGCCTTTTTCATGATTCCACCATAGCCTTGTTTCTCGCTTTAAGAGTTGATTCCACAAAACCCAATCACTTTTTAATGCATCCCACGGATTTTTTAGTTGTTTATAAATATAATGCTTGTTTGTTCTTTCATTAAATTTTTTTTCCACATTTGTCCACCCTAATCTATTAAAAGTACTATTAGGATGATTACCGGCATTGACCTCTTCCACACATATCTCACAGAAAATTCTTGTTCTAAATGCATCATACACTGCCTTTGACCTTTTTTCAACCATCTTATATATTGAAATAATTTTGGCCTTAAAACAAGATCTACAAACACATAGAACAAATGTTGAATAACGGAAGTATAGACACACATAATAACACTAAAAACATAATGCTAAAACTAGGAAAAATTATAAAATAGTCTTTTATAGATATAAATTAACCTGAAAATTATAATCATGCCTAGCGTTAACCAAACTTACAAACAAACCATTACATACATTACTGTAAGTGAGCCAAAATAGAAAACCCAATTAAGTTTGAGACACAGTAAAACCTATTATAAAAACAACAAATTGCTCAACCTCTACAAAACTAAAAGACACTCATTTGGAAATTAGAGAAATATATGCATTGGGTATGCTAGAAAATCTTACCTTTTTGGGTTTCCTTAGTTGAACCCAAAGCTAGAGTTAACAATGATAGCAACCCAAAATGCTATAAAGATAACAAGAAATGCAACAGCTTTGCATTTCCTGTTGTGCCTTATGATTCCTCCCAGTTGGATACTCCCATCACTTGATGGGTACCTCCCTATGATTGCCTCTAAAGGACCTCTCATCTCCTACCACAGTCACAGAACAAGGTTTATCTATCAAAAAAGGAGGTAATGCGTAGAGGGAGAAAGGAGATTCTGCAGAGATAGTAAAATTTATAAAAATAATTCTATGTTCAAGACAAAAAGAAAAGGGTTTTAAATCTAAGGAGGCAATAAAAGCCTAAAGAAGGCATGAAGCTGATCAAAGTAACCCACCAAAAAAGTATAAAAGCCTAAAGAAGAAGTTCATAGAGCTTGAATCCAGAATTCAGTCAAGGATACCTTAATGTCTTAAAAAGAAAAAAAATCATTGGAAAATAAAAAGGAAGACAATGGAATGACACAATTCCCCCTCCCCCAAAAGATTAAAAAGAAAGATCAATTTTTATCTTGAGAAAAAATAGCAAATCAACACATACTACAACTATATCTCCAATCCAAGGTCCCCAATGCAAAAAATTTCGCCACCAATAATTCAATACACAATCCATTCTTGCATATTAATAAATGCAATCAGGCAAACTGATCATGGTACAGGACTGACAAAAGCAGAGGTTTGCCAGCAGATCTCATCTCTATACTGTCAGAAACATATAATCGAACCAAGAAATTAAGCATATACTAAGTAGTAAGCACCCAAAATAATGAACTACAAGCTTACCTTCGCTTTGGGTATAACCTTAATAGCAACTTGTTGTCCTTTGAGTTCCCCTTTCTTAAACTTGGCTGAGTAGGTATAACCAAAATGGCCTTTCCCAACCTCCTCCCCGAGCTCGTACTTGCTCCCAAAATGCTTCGAGAATCTAAAGTCCCATGGCCAGAACACCCTCCACTTCACTCCCCTTTGGTATTGCTGCTTCATTCGGCTTCACCGACCCATGTCGCTTCGTCGCGTCGCCCAAATCTGCAAGAAGAGAAGCGACAAGGGATTAAAAATTAAAACTTTCACCAACTCACCCTACCAATCAACAATCATCATTCATCACCACCAAATTGGTAGCAAAAACACCAAAAAAGGAAAAAAAAATCAGAGAAAGGGAAGGAGACTCATAGAAGGAGGAGAAATGGGATTTTGGTGGGGATTTTCTGGTGAGGGGAAATGGGCTTTTCTGCTTTGAAGTAGTTAGGGAGAAAGAAGGCCGGTGATTGAGATGCTTTTATATTTTCAGTCTGCTTTGGAAGAAGGTGGGCAAGAAGGGAGGGAGAACAAGGCGCGTTCGGCTGCTTCAGAGACAAAGAAAGAAAGACAGGGGAAAGAAAGAGGAGTATAAAATGAACCTTTATATACTGGTTTTTTTTGTAAATAAAAGGAAGTGTGAGGACAAAATGAAAATGCCATGTCAATTTTATTAAACATAAAGCGAGAAGCTCCCATGGAAGTAAGAAATTGGTGCTTCCGGGCTTTGCAAAGGAACGACGAGGAGATGAGCTTTTAGAAAGCTGCAGCACGTTTGAGAAGCTGACCCGTTTGGTGAAGCTTGTGCTTTTAGAGTCAAAAAGCTTCTTTCACAATCTGCACCAAACACCTTCTAAGTTGATTTTCTCGAACCTCTCTCTTGTTTGCGTTTTTCAAATTTTGCGTTTCTATGAGAATTTTGATGGGTAATGTAGGCCCCCACTGCCAATGAGA